AGCTGTTCTAAGACACTTACAGATCTGGGCTATGAAACTATTAACACTGAAGTTAGGAATAGTCATGCAACATTAGCTGGTGCCTAGGAAGAGTCGAGGCAGATGAGGAGACTGGATTATCAGGGTCCTGTCTGAGTCTCTTTGTGTTGAGACCCGCAGAGCGATCCTTCATTCAGGGGTACAAATACTGCATTGTAGTCCTAAACTCTCAAGTGTGGGTTTGCCTTCTTCCAGGTTCCTTCAGCTCCCACTGAACACATGTTCTTGGCCAACAGAGGATTAATCTCATTTTAGCTCAAGAGTAAGAAACTAGGATTAAGAAAAAAAGAATCCACGTTACCCTATGTTTATGTACTCTGTCAAATGTGGCTTTTGGGAGAGCTCTGGCTGCGTGTGGCCCCACAGGACCCCTTAGTACAGGGCAGGTAGCATGTTGACTTGTTCAGCATCCTCAGCACCTCCAGCATGATGACACTTCATACCTAGAGGACTGCAAACGTCTTGCTTCCGCTCTGTGCCCAGCCACTTGGACCCGAACATAGGACTGGCTAGGGCTTCCCTCCCATCCACTTTATAGTTCCTTAAGCCCAGAAGTATGAGACCCGTTGCTTGACCCATTTCATCCTGTGCTTGCTAAGCCAGGGCTGGTTAAAAACTTCCTGTTGACTCTAATTGCTGACTGACTCTGGCTGGAATTTTTTGGGTTGGTTTGCACCTCGAAGGTTAACCCTTTTCCTTTAGAAGAAGCAAGAACCTACTCCCACAGCAGTGTGAGGTACAATGGGTTAAGTACAGTTTTGATTCTTACATGCTTCCTGCTTAAGTCCGCATCCCGAGAAGCAGTTGAAAGGCTATAACAATTTTTGCGTGGTCACTGGGTCCTTGGCTTTGTTTTCCGTTGTGATAGGTACCCTCAGAAGTATGCCATCTTCTCCAGGCAAGGGTACTAAGCATTAATCTGTCCTGTTGTTTGAGTTATAAGAACTGAGTAAGCCCTGGATTTCTGCTACTTTGTTTAGGGTAGCCAAGGCTTTGAGGGCAGCTGTGCTGGCTGGCAGAGTGTTAGGAAGTAGGTGTGCACATATCCTTTAAGAGGGGGAGTCATCTTTGATTCAGCTAGAGCTTCTTGCAAGACTGGTTGGGTTGGAGCTTGGCAATAGCGTTACACAGAGCCTGTGAGGCTGACCAGAAGATTGCTTTAGCACAGTTAATCTCAAGGAGTGTCTGACCCTGTGGGAGAGGGAAAATAAGCATATTTCTTTCCTGTTCCTGCCCTACAGCTTATCCATGGCACAGTGGTGGATACTGCGATCGTCTTTCCTCACCGGCTGGGTTTGCCTTACAAACGGGCTCTCCGGACGCTGATGGCAGACTACCTCAAGCGCATCATCCAGGACAACGGTGAGACCAGGGAGAAGCTGAGAGAGTCTCGCGTCCCATCCCACCTGTTTGCAGGTTCCTTGGACCTGCCTCCCTCTCTGCTCTCCCCCCAAGCCCCATCTCTCTCTCCTGCACTTTATTTATTTATTTTTTTATTTATTTTGGTATGTCTGCCAGTAGCTGTGAACGGGACAGCATATGAAGTCTCTGCCACAGACCATTTTAGTTTGAAGCCTGTGCTGAGGCTCAGCAGCTTTCCTCTCTGTGCTAGGTGGAGACCAGGGGCACGGAAGTGGTGTGAGAAGGCCAGGGATAGCTCTGCCAAGGCAATGTCGTGCCCTCCCTTCTCTCTGGCCAATGGAGATTGACATTTCTGTTTGAAGCATGGCATATTTCTTTCCACCTTCCTTGAGTGCGTTGTAAACGTACTGCTGAGGAAATTGAGGCCCTCTCTGACCAGCTACTCCCTAGCCTCAGGGCCTGTAGAGTAGCAGCATTTCATTCCTTATTTAAACAAGGGAGCAGACTCAGAATGAAGTCCAGCAAAAATGTGCTTAGTGAAAACTCTTCTGCTTTAAATCCCCCACTGGTTCACCGTGTGTCCCGCAGTTGTGCCTGTATTTGCAGAGGCAAAGGGCAAGTGAGCAGCTGGGCCAGTAGTGTGAGGCAGGACTTTGTCTTTGGGAAACCTCCATCTGTGCTTTTGAACAGGTGGCTCCTCGGTGGCGGAGGGGCTCGCTGGGCTGAGGTGTTAACTGTGGTGCTTGTCTTTCTGTCTCCAGTGGAAGGGCACGACTCTAGTGAGGATGCCAGAGCTTGCATGGAGCTGATGGTCTGGAAGATCAAAGAAGATGCTAAAGTGAAACGATGACTTGCGCTTCCTTCTCTCCTGTTCCTCCTCCACCTCTTTGAAGCAGTGCAATAAATGCTCAGAGTAACACTGTCCACCTGTACGCGGCAGCATGCTACCCCAGACTCCCCATGCACTCACAGGTATCTATGGGACTTAAGGACTGCTGCTGGCGCAGCTGAATGGCACCAGCTCACTGCTTGCAGGTCCCTGTGTCCAGGTAGTGGCTCTCAGCTCCTTTTGACTGCATCCGAGGGATACTCTGTGGTACAGCAGTTGCCTTGTAGGCATGGCAAGGCAGTTTTGAATAGTGCAACCGGAGAGAAACTTCTTGGTTCCTAGGAGGAGCTTTTAGAGGTAGGTTGGATACATACGGAAGGATCTTTCTGGTTCAGTTAAAGGCAGAACTCTTCCCCCCCCCCAAATGTAACTTAAACTGCCTTTGTACTCCAAAGCAGGTAGCTTCCCATAGTGTTTGAAGAAGGGGGGAAACAAGAAAGCAGGGCGAGCAGGAAGCTGTGAAGTGAATGGGTTACATAGCTGGTGTATGAACGGCAAGCAAGGGGTGGTGAGAGTCAAGGATCAAGCCATCTGGAAAGAGGTCCTAGTATGGACCCATTGCGGAGGAAAAGGCAGTGCTGGGAGAGAGAGGCTGTCTTGAGAGGGTGTGGAGGGAGCAGCAGGCCTAAGAATGAGCTGGGCTCAGGAGAGATACCAGTTGCTATGACCCAGATGATCTCTCTGGCGAGTGCTGGCATCCCAGTTCTGCAGTAGCTGGAAAAGGGAGAAGCCACAAGTGTCAGACCATACCCAGACCTCAGGGAGCTCCTGGCCAGTGCATGTAGGTAGTGACGCAGGGAGCAGCGGGGCTGTGACAAATCAAGCTCCCAGAGCCAAGAGAAGATTTGCAGCCTTCCATGGCAGGAGCCGTGTTGGGGTGGAGAGTGGTAAAACCAGACATCGTAAGCGCTGAGGAAGGCAATTCCTCTTTGCAGGTTAGGACAAGCTGTCCCTCCCCTTCCTGCCAAGCTTCTGATGTGTCTCCAGCAAGCTCATATGTAGGGATCAAGGATTGGGAGTGACCTGGGTGCTGCTAAGGTGGCACCGAAGGGTGCCCCAACAGTACTTGCAAGCATGCAGGTCTCCCCACCAGTTCATCCCTGATAGCAGGGACTTGATGCAGAGAAGATCAAAAGCAATAGGTGGAAATGTTCCTTTAAACTAGTTTACATGTTGGTTGTTTAAAGAAGAAAAGCAGAAGAGCCAGTTGTTGTCTCTGTCTGGCCTCCTGGACAAAAGCAACTGTTGATGGTTTGTCTCTGTCTCACTTGCAGCGACTCAGGCAGTGACACAGGTAGACTGCAAAGGCAGTCTACTGCCTGAGAGACTGATGGTCCCTCTCTGCCTGCAGGGTCTCTGGCAAGGCCCCATTGCTTTGGGGAGAACAAGAGAGCTGAGAGAAGTGGTCCCTAATTTAGACATTCTCTTTTAGCTGAGGTCCAGGTAGCATCTCAGCACAGTTCAGTTACAGCTGGTTGTTAGAGCAGAAATTGCCTCACCCCCTTACCCTTCCAGGCATGGACTGGAATTGCTTCCCTAGCAGGAAGCAGTAGCAGGCGTGTAGCAGGCCCCACATCCCTAGCATGGACAGCCTGAGTTGCTCTCATGGGAGTGGAGCCTGGGGAACTGCTGGGTTTTGTTTCCTATCAGAACCAGGCCAGGCTCTCAACGGGGCCTTCATACCCCTGTGGCCGCTGGCGGCAGTGGTGAGTTCGGCTGCGGGACATGCTGCGTGACCCCCAGCACGTCTCTTGGAGCTGTCCCTCCTCTGTGCCCCTGCTGGTGGGGAGGAGTGCTGACGTGCGTGCTATGTGTAATGGGCTGGGCATCTTTCTCCAGCCAGTTGGCCTGGGCATCTCAGTGCCTGGCCCCAGGTCTGCTATGCTGGCAGGTCTGTGCTCACGCAGCCTCAGGTGGCTCTGCCAGGCTCCCTCCTCAAGGCACCAGGAAGGGTGGGGGGGGCGGTCTGCAAAAGCTCTTGTTCCTGCAGAGCCTTCTGTGCTTTCTCTGGTGGGCAATGACTGGGTGCCAGCCTGTTCTTTTTCCCAAAGTTAGGGCCATGCTGTTTCCCCAGCGGTCTGTAGGCCATGTTGCATCAAGCTCTCCCTGCAGCCTGCCTTTGCCAAGCATTGCAACCTCCTCCTTCCCTGCTTTGGGGCTTCCACGTGAAGGAGCGCTGGACACCTTGTCTTGTCCCTCTCTCCCATCACCTGCTGTTGCAGGGAGTCATGCTGTTCTCATGCTTCTGCTCAGGCCATGGGGGAGAGGTGGAAAGTGCTTCTTAACCAGGAAGGTTTGTTCCTGCTTCTGCCTCTTCCCCTCAGCAGCCCCCATTTATCTTCTCCCCTGGGTGCAGCAATGGAGTGTAGCAGCCCACCACGCGCTGGGTCCCCATCCCCTCTGCAGGTAGTGATGCTGCTAGAGACAGCAGCCCTAGGAAGGAGACTCGAGTGTATGGCTCTCCTGTCTCTGCAGTGAAATGTAGCTGTAGCTGTGTTAGATTTTGAAGCCAGCTCTTGCCTCAAGGATCCCCGATGTTTGTTGCAAAGTCCCAGCTCCCCCAAAAACCAGCACCTGTGTTTCTATGCAGATGCAGCCCATGTCCATCTGGTGTGTTGGCATCCTGCTGGGGAGGTGGTTTCCTGGCTTTCCCCCACTGGCTGGGCTGAGGGGGCTGGGCTCGGGGAAAGGTAGAGCATGGGCACAGGGCACTTTCCTCTGGATTTAAAGCCTGAGGTTGGCTAGGCAAGAGGGGATCTTGGTCATTTCCCCTTCCTTTCTCTGCTGCTCCCACGCAGTTCAGCTCTAAAACGAGGCTGCAGCGGGGTGTGAGGGCAGCAGGATTGCCTCTTTCTTTCATGGGACGTTAGTGGGAAAGGAGACTGCTTGCTCCCCGCTCGGTGCGTCTGAGGTACCGTTTCCTTGCTGGTCTGATCCCACGGCACGTCATCGGGTATGTGGCAGAGGTGCACGACCCGCATGCTGCTGTTGGCCTCCCCCGTAGTGTGACAGGTGTAGGCGCTGCTCCCATGTAACTGGGGCTGGGGCATCCTCGGCAACGTGGTCCCTGATCCCTGTCCCGGGCGCCGGAACACTGTAAAAACAGAGGTTTCAGGTCGGCAAGAGGTTTTTTGGGTTGTGTATAAATATTGTAACCTGTAACTTTTTGTAATTGTTTTTAATAAAAGGGTGTTGACTAGACACATGCTCCCGAGTCTGGGTCTGCTCTGCCGGCAGCGGGGTTGGGGAGGATGTCGGCCCTGGATTGAGCTGCCTGCGCTCTAACGGGGCCTTCGGAAGGGGTTTTGCCTGCCCCATGAGCCCTGCATGGAGAATGAGACTTTCTCACCGAAGAGGTGAAGTCTCCTTGGGATGACGAGACAAAGTGATGCCTGCGATGGCTGGACCTGCTGGGGCCTGGCACCACCGGCCGAGGGGGGTGCGTGGCATCCTCGTGCAGCGCACCCTGAGCTGCGGGGCTGCACCGTGGCGGGTCCCTGCTCCTCTTGCTGCCATGCTGAGTGTGAGCCGCTCTGTCCTGGCACTGGGGAGAGATCCCAGGAGTCCTGGCTCCCACCTTTGACCACACTCCCCGGGAGAGCCCGTATCAATCTCGCAAATGGGGCAGGAATTAAAGTGTCGGGTGAAGGTGCTGACTCAGCACCGAGGAAGAGGTGAAGGTAAAAAGTTCAAATAAAAAATAATAGGCTATTAGATGACCTCACTGGCAATGTGTTTTATTTAACGTGCTGGTTATGGCTTGGCAATGGCAGCGGTTACTTAGGATGCTATAAAAGTCGCGGCTGACCTGTGTTTTCAACTACGTTTACGGACCTCGAAGCTGTTGGGCGAGCCAAGCTCTGGCATTAAGCTCTCCTGGTGCGATCCCTTGCCGCGCAGGTCGGTTGGTCTTTCCTCCTGTTACTGTCCCCTGTTTTGCAGGTCACCTGCTGCCATGGGGGTACCTGAAAAGGACTGACACCCCAGGGTGAAAGCAGGCATTTGATCCAGCAGGCTTGTCCAGGGGACAAGCTGAGGCTCAGGGAGGTGAAACGAAGCATCAGGTGGTTTTGCGAGGGGCTCGCTGGAAAAAAAAAGGGGGCTTGATTTCCATCCCGCCGGGCAGCGAAGCTGCGACAAGCCCAGTGGCCTCT